GGGCCGAAAACGCTATAAGTAATGTATCGAATATGGTCGATAATAATGGGAGAGAGGGACTGTGGGAGACGGCCAATCTCCCTCTCATTCTCTCTCCCGTTACACCATTGAATGGAAAGAGTTAGAAATGGCCGTCTGCCATGGTCTGCTCTCTCTCATTCCTATCGACCATTTTGACACACGGATCGTGCAGTTCATTCTCTATTGCTGGATATCATCGAATCCTGTTTTCTGATTAGTTGCAGCGCGTCGTACGACGCAAATCGGATGCAGGGTGAATCCAGCATTTGGCTGTTGCTTTATTTTAAAGCGTCTCTACGTCCACAAAACTACATAGCCAATGTCCATGATCCGGTCGGTAATATCCACGATTTTTTGGTTGTATTCTTCACTATATTCACGAATTTCGGTCCATTAGATAGACAGAGACGGACAATCAATCTGTCGGCGCTTGTAATAAGTCTAATTATATACAATTAAGGGGATGCTGGAGTGACGGTCGAAGTTAATCAAGGTCGATATAGTACAGACTTTTTTAAATTTCAAATTCGACAATAGTGACATCTTTCATTCATTTCTTATACTTATTATATTTATATCGTTGTGTCTCGCTCAAACGCATTCATCTGTCCTTGCTTAAAATATATTAACGCCATCTCTTAGAAAGAGATCAACTAAAATACTGCTCGGTTTCATGGCTTTACGTCAATTTTATTCGTAGCATACGAACGAAATTTTTGGCGGCTCTTTTCTCTTATGCCAAAGCTCCTACCTCGTTTCTAAAAGCATAGAATTGTTCTTCAAGGTTTTCCGTAGGCTGCCGGCTACTTATTTTAAACGGGTAAAATCTGAAACTCTTATATGCAGCACATGTTGTGACGAGTTGACTGCAGAAGCCAGTGTGACAAAACTACAATTTTTAATTTTCTTTCATTTTCCGTATTAAATTGTAGCTGGCAGCCTGTGTTATTGTCGATACTTTAATTGTGGAGAAGAACTTTTCAATCCATACACACAATTAAGAGAAAAGAGTCTTTAAAAATTAATGGTAAAACAGGACACTCCAGCATCCGCTCCTTAAGACAAGACAACTTACAGTTTTGTTTATCTGACGTCAGTCATTGTACTGACTATCCTTCTTAATATATATATATATAGTCGGCACGCTTCATATCCTGAGGATTTAGTACAGCAACGAATCACATCTACTTTCGATGATACAATTTTATCGATAGTGTCAGAAAATGTATGTAGTCACATATATAGTTCCCAAACTGAAAATGGATGTACTGGCGGTAGGGTACAGCCGATTTCGACGGTAACAGGAAAAAGGCTGTTTTTCTATAAGGACTCTACATCAACGTGGTGTAGTGCAATTAGTGCAAAAGGCGCCAAAATCTGGCAATCCAGAGTCATTGCGTGTGTATTTTGCCGCGCAAACGTATACATGTATGTATGTACGTATGTACACATTATGCACACACACCCACATATGCATACGTGATCGTTAGATTTTGATTAATGTGAATATTTGTGCGGTAAAGTTGCAATACGTAGAATTTAGAATTATCGATATTTCGCCATAACGAGGTGTCTGTCGTGTGATTTGTAGAAGAGAAATACCGATAATTGGATCATTCGTTCAACTGCGAAAACTTGAAATTCTCTTTCCACACCATTTGATTGTGAACGAGAAACAATTTTTCCAGTTAACTCGGAACGTCATTCGATATTGGAACACTTGGAAAAAAGATCAGTACATCGTTAAAACAGCATATCCTTGATACATTTCGCCGTTGAAAAATAAATGCTCAGTAAGGAATAAACTTTCTTCTTATTGAATTAAAATGTGAGAGTTTGTTATATATTAATGTTTCGCTTGATAATTTTCGATACATACATTTTCCTAAACATTCACACATACTGACAATTTGTCATTTGCTTTCTACATCTATCATTTATAATATTACACTTAGCTATAAAATATTCGTTATTTCAGATTATTGTTATAAAATGATAGAATCCGATCACAGTGAAATTGAGGGAGAAGACATGGATAGACTGCAACTATCATCTACTTCTGTAGATGACACACCAAAAAAAAGGCCAAGAGATTCTGAAGATGAAATAGATTTATCTAAAAAACGGCAATGTTTATTTAATGAACGGTCAGAAATATTAGAGAGTGATAACTCTGAAACTGTTTCAGAGGAAAATAATACAGAGAGATGCCATATGAAACTGGAAAGATATAAATTGTATCGAGAAAATCGTCAAAGTGTACAAGAGGTATCTCTATCTGAATCAGACATGGATGGGAAGAATAAAGAGAAACAAGGAGGTAATTTGAAGCAAGAAAATGAAAGAGAAACTGAGAATAATATTACTTTAAACAAAAATCCTGGGGAAATAAATATAAATTATAACATTAAGGAGGAAATTGTGGAAAGCATGGTAATAATACAATAATACGCAATGTTACTAATGAAATCTGAGGAAATTTATTCTTTTTTTATATCGTGTTTTTTTATCATTCTTACCTATTACGTTTATAAGTATCTTGTCTATGTAATGTCCTTTCTGTCACGTGTACCAAATTTTTTGGGTTTTAGCTATATCTTCTGTCTGATATTTTGTAGCAAATTTAAACTCACCGTTTTGTAATATTGATATTAGCTTGAACATAATAAGATGTTCCGTTTATTCGATAATTTTAATAGCCATACAATAAACAGGTTATTGTGTGATTTTAATTAGTTCTTCTTAATAAAAATAGGATAATTCATTCCAAAAGTCTATTACAAATGCAAGTGTGATGTCTATTCCTGAAAGCAAGAAAGAAACAACAGGAGGCAATGAGGTTAAAGAAGAAAATGGCAAAACGATGACTAGAGAGGAAAATAACAAGGAGGATGAAATGAAAAAACGACATACCGCTAAGAAATGTACTGTCGATACAGAAGTGGTAGACGGACTGGAGCTTTCCGTGGAATGTGCGAGTGATAGGGAAGAATCTAGTTCTGAGAATGAAGATGAAAAAGATGTGAAACCACGACCGAAGACAATAATCGTAAATGCAGAGCCAAATGAGTCGGAATTAGACTGTTCATCAGAAGAAGAAAAGCCTGATTTGCAACAGATAGCCGACACATTGAAGATTAAATCGGAAAAGAGCAGGGAAAAAGCAGCGAAGAAAAAAGGTTCGCGAACAAGTTTTAGTAAATTGAAAACTTCTGGATCAGAGGACAGTCAGAATAACAATTCAGATGAGGATTATAGTCCACGGACGAAGAAGAAAATGACAAAATCTCCAGCTACGAGGAAATCAACCGACAAACATCGCTCGGTCGAATCAAAAAGAGGACGAGGTAAAGATATAAGAAATTCTCACCCAAAAAATACCGAATGTCTAATATCTGATGATGAGGACACAACTGCAGCAGAGAAAGCTAATAAAACGACTACAATTAAGAATGGACTGCAGGGAGAATTATCCAACACGGAATCGTCCAGTAAAGATGAAAGTGATAATAATTCCGAAAAAGAAGAGAGATCTATGAAAAGTGGAAGGGGAAGCCGTGGTAATGATGTAAGTTTCTTTCTAATAGATAGATCCTACAATCAGAAATGGGCAAAATGACTGCTCGAATCTATTTGAAATAGAAAATGTAAAATAGACATTTTTTTTAATGATTTTTCCAAATGGTTTTTTAAAAATTGATTTTTAAGAACGGTTTTTTAAATATTCTTATATTTATTTTGCATGTTTAACTAACATTTGTATTTTTTAATTCTTATTCTTTAATAGCCTTATTTTTTATATTCTTACTATAACTTTTTAATATAATATATCTTATATTTTATATAATATATGTATATATATAAACTTTTATAAAATATGCATTTTTTTATATAATGTACATATAAACCAAAGATTTATACAGGGTGTAACTGAAATAACGTCCACTAATCATACAGTGCTGTGTTTAATAAAAAAAACTAAGTCGAAAGGTCCTCTACCATTTTGCAATTTTCATAATGGTTAAGGAGACATTAATTTCTAAATATTGCTGAATAAATGAGGTCTGTTTCTTATTGCTGCACTCTGAACTGGTGCAATAAGTTGAAGTGAAACAAATATACGTTTATTTCACTTGATCTTATTGCACTGTGTATACCAGTTCAGAAAATGTAGCAATAAAAAACAGACCTATAGATAAAATTGATGTACAAGACAATTTTGAGATATATTTCCGTGTTCTTTGTGAAATATTTTGAAGATTTTTCTTAAAGAACTCTTAAAGAGATATCTTGAAGCAGATAACTATTAATACCAACCTAAATATTTTTAAACCTAATTGTATTTCAAATAGAAAATGGATATTAAATACACCATTTAAATGGAAATGTAAAGTAGTTTTTGAAAAAATATATTTTAAATACAAAATGGGCATTTTGCATTTTGTATTTCCATTTTAAATACATCTATTTCAAATAATGCCCATCTCTGCCTACAATGATACAAACTTGGATGCATTTTTTTACTGTTGTATGAATCAAATTTTCAGAAAGGAGATAAACAGATACAGAGGTTGAAGAAATATTTAAAAGTTGCTGGTGTAAAAGTTCAATCGTACAATCGCATTTGGGCCGATTGTAGGAATAACACTGCAAAAGTTAATCGTCTGAAGGAATTGTTAAAGAAAAACGGCGTTAGTGGTAAACTATCGTTGGAAAAATGTAAACGAGTGAGAGAAAAGAATGAAAAGATGAAGGAGGTATCTGAATTGGATATGTCAAACATTATATCTGAAGGTTAATATTACAGTTTTGTTGTCCATCTATGTTATATTTATTATATAATGAACATATTGCGCGCAACGTTGAATTTGTTTTTATTTCAGGACGAATTACACGTGCACGAAGAAGTATGGATACCGTTAAAAAGACAGTTCCAGACACACCACCGCGATATCGAGAGCATAATACTTTTCGGCGTATTCAAACTGTTGTTGATAGCGATTCAGAATAGAGGGCATAGCATGCTCTCATAATCCATAAATATTGAATATAATGTAATATAAATTTAATATAAATTTAATGGTGAATTCGGCACACATGCCACTGACTCCGCTCTAGTGCTGCCCTGACATGCCCTGCGAGTGCAGACCTACTTTAGTGCTATGCCAAATTGCACTGTCAGAAACGTTAGTGCAACATTTTTTTAACTCGTTCAGTTCATTCGATTTGTCCAAATATAATCAGCACTACACTGAGACAGTGCGCACAAGCCGAATACGTGGCGCCGAAAAAGTTCGCACTCGGTGCGCACTAGTGCAGTCTGCCGAATTCGCTACAAGTATTTAAACATCAGAGAATATGTGCCAACAATTGTGTATATATCGTGTGTGTGCGTGTGTGTACACACGTGCACGCCGTCCTGTCCACGTCTGTGTAGAATGTTTTGTTTTTAAATTTTCATATATCATAAGGTGCGTTCCGTATCGCGCATGATGTGCATGATGCATCCATTGTCCTTATTTAACATTTGGTGAGCAACAAAGATAAACGATGCATTATGCGCATCATGCGAGTAACGGAACGCACCCATAGTTATCATTGTTTCTTACATCATGGGTGTGTTCCCTTTTTACTGGCAGTGCAACCATCATAACGTCACAATAGTGCACTGCCGCAGCCGTTCCAAAATTGCTGTGGCACTGCCAGCACTATTGTAACGTCGTATTTCGGAACGACTTTGCAGTAAACTGGCAGTGTAAACAGACATAGATAAACGTACTAAATTGTCAATAAATTTTGAACGAAAACAACAGCGATAGTTCTTCCGAAGAAGATGAAGTAATTATGGGATCACTAATTCAAGCAGTTTGACCTCGTGTTTAAAACTATATGGACACAGAGTTAATAAATATTCAGATGTGGAATTAAGAGTCATTTTCGATAAAATGAATATAAGTGTATCTTCTGCAATTAAATATAATGTATATATTTTTTTATTTCCTGGATCGAATATTTTGACGCGTTGTGCTTCTTTAAGCGACGCCACATTGCACTGTAATTGCTTCACCTCGAAAGCCGCAGTAGTCGCAGTGGCAATATGGCTATCATTTATGACGTCATTGAGGGAACTAGACGCTGTCGCAGCGCGCTGCGTAGTAATAGCGGAACAATTTTTCAGTACTGCCAGTACTGGCAGTGTATATCGGAACACACCCCATAGTGGCTTAGTTTACACCCTACGTTTAGGCCGCCACCTATACTCTAAATCTAACCTAAACACGACAGGTCGCGACGGTGTAAATACTTATAACCTCGCTTAGGTGAGGGATCTTTTTCAAGATCCCTGACCTCTCTTAGGCTGCACGACCTACCTAGCTTTAACGCATGTAAACGCAGGCAGACGGCCTAAAGGCGTAACGTATACTACTAAGAAACTAATAGATGACTCTATTTCATGTTTTGTAATGTGCAATAAACTGTGTACGTAGAAATGGATTTTATATTATAGGTCTATATTTGGGTAAACGCTCCGTTCGAGACCTGTCTTAGGTAGGGTAAAGGTCAGGGTATAGGTCAGGTCGTTGGGTGTAAACTAGGCCAGTGTGCAGTTATCGATCAATAGTAATTTTCATGTACTGCGTGTTACATCAACAATATTGGTCAATAATGTCATTATATCGAGCTACCTTCTCTAGCAGCCATTACATTTATCAATACGTTGGGCTTTCTTTTCCAACAAGCATTACATTTATAAATAAAATATAATCCATCAACGCGCTCCCCACGCGCACCTGTTAGAGAAGGTAACCTGACATAACTGATCAGTGAACACACGGTACATTGATACACGAAAATACGGAGACATTTTTATTTTCATTGTATTGATTTATTCCCCTACTTAAGATAAGTTGCTGATAGTTTGTATACGAAGATGATTTTGTAATTTGTGTAACACCAGTTTGGTACGAATAATAATTGTGTACATAAATAAGAAAAAAAAACTAAACGTAAAACAAGAAATTCTATCAGATTTATACTATCAAATAATTGAAATGAGTGACACGTTTTGCTTAAATGGAAAAAAATAACATATTTTTAAGTACATATTAGAAATTTATTTGTAGTGTATAATATATAGATGAAAAAAAAAAACAATTTATTTTTCGTCAAATCTACATGCAGCTTCAGCTAATGTTAAAGACAGCAATTGGAAAAAGCAACGAAAAGCCATACTATTCTATTATATCTTTCTTTTCGGTCTATAATATCAAAATGCATTCAACTAAATTACTAAGTAGAAGGGAAAGAAAGCACTCGGTAAGTTATTATATTTCTTGGAAGTAAAAATATGTGACGAATCACTTTGCTCTTTATCAAAACACATCGAGCTAAATATTTTTAAGTTGCTTGTATCCAATAAATGATTGAATTATAATTGATTTGCGCCGTAAAATCTCAAGATGTTGATAAATCGATACTTTTATCATGTTACACAATATTCGTGCGGGACGGAATATAGAGTGCAACTTGCACCAATTACGGTTCAACTTTTTTTTTTTAATTCTATTTATAATTAGTATGGCATATTTATCTTTTATATTCAAGATTTATATTTACTTATACCTGGAAAGATCTAAAATTCTCAAAGGATTTCTTTTTTTTATTATTGAAAATGAGAGATTTTTATAGAATTTTATCGGTACTTGAGGGAAATTTTTGAAATGTTATTTTTAAATTAAAATTCCGTCTCTTTCTAGAAATAGGTATTTGTGTTTCTTTGAGCGTTTTTTTTTTTAAATTATAATGCAAATATAGATTGACAATCTATTAGCGATAAGTATGGCATACACATCCGCATATATTCATGAACATTCTCATGTGTTTGCGAATTTTTATCAAGAAAACCAGCGGAACAAAATAGTTTCATCATACTACTCCCTACTGATATACTTATCTATATTATAGATTTCACGACTCCTAGTTGTAGAAAATAATAAATGTAGTCTCGCGTGAAAAATCCCTATCTTGTACTAATTTACAATATATAATTTGTTGTTTGCATTGCGCTTACACTCCAATTTATTTCAAAGTTATATTAGAAAATTTTTTTATATCTTATCTAGATTTTTGAGTAAAAAATATCTGAAAAGAAATTAGGAATTTTTTTTTGCAAAAAAAGTAAACACTTGCACTTGATATTTCTTACTTATGTTCTCAATGGATTTATAATAGTATTTTTCTTACAAGAAAAACAACATATCGAAAGATGGACTTTTTCTATCTTATTTATCTATTGATTCACTAGTTGAAAAACTTGGTGATGCATTCTTTACTGCAAAACAATTTATCTTTCTTTATCGCCATTCTGCCATTGAGTAGATTTCTCTTACAGCTGTAGCAGCAAAAGCAGACTTGAGTTGCATGAAAATTTAAATTTTTTATAGCTACTCCTTGTTGATCAGCGGCAATCACTATATTACAAGCAGCGCATGTTTTTGCGTATGATTGTTGATAACAAGGAAGACACAGTGGTCGATCGTTTTCGGTAATATATTGTTGCCCAGCCAATGGCATGTCACAGTCCCAGCAACAAAAATGCTTCACGTGATAATTATGTCCCTCTGCAACCGTATATTCCCGTACAAAGATCAACTGCAAAAAACAAAAGTACCACTGTCGAGTAAGTATATAAAATATAATTTTTGAGAATCGTATAATGAAGAATGGTTCACTTACCTCGTCGCAAGCGAAACATCGAGGGATTCCGAGAAACGTAGCCAAATCTCTTCCGCAATACAAGTTATTCTTGTAATAAAAATACACAAGATCCACCAACAATTCGTTGCATACTGAACAAACGAAGCAGCCAGGATGCCAGGATGCGTTATTAGCCTTCTCCGCGATTACAACTACGTCGCCAACGCGAATGTTGTCATGGCATTTTTCGCACTTGTGCATTTTTGTCGAGTCTATCTTTAAACCTTCAATGGCCTCTTGTAGAGAGTCCGTAAGTTGCGTATCACCTCCAACGAGGGTGTGAGGGAACACTTGGTTTTGCAATTGCTCGGAATGTATCACCGACGATTGCAGGACCGAACTACTCAACTCGGCTTGCAACGGATTGGATATATATACATCGATAGGATTTTGCGAATCAGGAGTTTCTATAATTTTTGCCGATAGAACGACATTCGTGGGAATCGTAGATGTGGGATCTGTAGAATTATGTTTGCTCGATAATGTGTGTGGATCTCGTATAGTGCTTTCCGTAATGGAAGTCGCTTGAAATGTATCCGTCGGGAACGGATCGTTATTTGCGGTTTTGTTATTCGACAGCAAATCGCATCGCGACTTTCGTTCGTTTCCTTTGATACTATCAGGTACAATAGTCGAGTCAACTGCTTGAGAGTGAGAGACTTTATTGAACATTTTTCTATCTACTTCTGCTTCGTAAGGATCAGTGCTCCTTACTTTTGCCTTTTCTGCGAGGTTTGCCGCAGGGAGTAAATTCATAGCAGCGATAACAGGTAGTGTTGTCCCTACAGGCTTGTCAACATGCAGAATACAAGCAGGATTGTTATTTTCCTCAACTCCACCATCACGTGGACGTAATACGTCATCACTTACTGTGTCTAACGGTCGGGAGAATTTAGACACAGCGTACGTTGCTGGATTCTTCGCGACGTTATTATACTTGTCGGCAAGTTTCTCCCTTATAAATGTCAATCCCTTCTCGTCCAATGTGCTTCCGATAATATCATTGGCATGTATAGCACTGGGTGAAAGAAGCGCGTCCGCAAACATGGATTCCGCGGAGAAAACTGTCTCATCACTAATAGCTTCTCCACCATGTGCTGCGATGCATATGGTGGTATCGACGTGATTCAACGTTTCTCCGTGTCGCTCGAAAGCATTTCCTCCGTAAGGTACGTAATTTCGACAAGTATGCTTTTCACGAGCAGATACGATTTCTTGCTCAGCGAGATGTGTGAAAATCGAAGAATTAACTATCTTGTCATCTACTGCAGCGTTTTTTTCATCTACCTGCAATGTGGTATCACGTTGAAGGTTTTCATAAATCAATTTCCCTTCGATTGGTTGCGATCTCGCAATGTTGCTACCGGCGGACACATTATCCAATGTACAATTGTACTCTTCTGTACTCCTCATTAAGACCTCATTGTTATTTATGGCTGTAGCAGCGGCTTGTTTATTTTGACGAGCATCACACAGGTGCCTCGCATACGGACCTTTCATGGCGAAGCTACTCGGTGTACGTAATTGAACACCAGTGGAAAGTATATAAGATTTATGTTGTGGACTGCTGCACTTTTGCATATCAGTTGCATTGACAGGTGTCATTAGAGAACGGTCGAATGGACGGGCACCGAACATCTGTGAAAATAATAATATCTCTATATTATATAAAACAAAATGTGCGCTATTTATTATACGAAAATAAATTTTGTTTAAAAATTCACTTTAAGCAAGCCTTTGATATAAATCGTATAAATATCTACGATACTTGTACCATCTTACAAATCTGCAACTATAACAATAATTAATGTATAATCAAGTCGCCATTACTTACTTTCGTCACTTTGCCTTGTCCTACATATTTCTTTATGTTTTCCAAATATTTTTCAAATTGTTTCTGCTCTTGCTCGCTAAGTTGATCACAAACTTTATAATCGATATCGTGAAGCGGTAGTTGTTTCTGCAACAACTGCCTTCTCAAAACGGCACCAACTGATCCTTTAATTGGCAATTTCTCCGTGGGCAAAGTTTTCATGTAATCCACAGCAAGTTCTTTAGTTGTATCCGGCGGCACCCACTCGAATGTAGTTTCATCATCGTTTTGTTTCTTATCGTTTACTTGCAATCCTAAAGATCAATTTTTCTAATATAAATACGCGCGCGCGTACACACACGTACAAAATACTTACGCATGGACTTCTTTTTAAATTTTCCGCTTGATCCAAATAGTAGATCAAATTGTGGGAATTGATCGTCATCGACATCGTGATCGTCTCGACCACATTTACAATTCTTGCAAATTTTTCTCCAGAAATGGAGATCAAGACCAGGACACATTGAATTACAGTTTGTGCATGGTGCACCAGCTCCAGCTTCATGCGCTAAACGTGGCTGAGCAAACGTAAGACAATCAATTGATGACTTTCAATCTTAATTTTGTATAGGTATCTACGTTACATTCCTTTTCCATCTCCTGAATCAAATTAAATCAAATTACATGTTGAAATTAAATGTACCTTTTGCTTACGATTTTCTAGTTCCACCAGCCACTTTGGGCGATTTGTCGGTTCTACCTCCATCCTCCAGCATGAAGAATACGTATTTCGTTGAGCATCAGACTTGTATCTTCAATGCAAACTTATCTTGTGTGGTCACTTGATATACACATACAACACACAAATGTGCATGAATCATCAAAGCGACTATTTGCACTAATACTCGGAGGTATTCGAGGTATAAACTGTCTCTTCCTTTCAAAAGCTATGTGGGTACACACACACACATATATTTGGGTGCGTACACTGTCAAGCAAGCATCAGGGCAGCATACGCTGGCATTTACACGCACACACACCAGTTTTCACTCCCCTCTACTGCGTTATTCCGGCCCCGCCGCGAAGTGGGGATACTCGTTAAAGACTAAACGAAGATATACTTACTGACGAGCACTACGGCCACTGTGAGCATTACGAGCATTACAAGTGGGACCAAGTGGCACTTTGCGTTTCGTTATATGTACATATGTTGATTTGCACGTTTGAATGCTTTATGAATCTTAATAATATAACAAAGATAATGAAAATAAATTCTTCTGAAATCCTTATTTTCTGTACACACAAATAAATATTGTTCATTTGTCACAAACATGTAACTATTTCTATAAGGTTTCATTGACTTGTGTAATGATACGAATATCTGTTAATGTAATCATTGAAGAATTCAAAGGAAAGGAATCAGAAGGAAATGTTAACTGCGTTTACACGCAAGTTTTATATTATACATATAATATATATATATATATATATATATGTGTGTGTGTGTGTGTATATATATATATATATATACCTATATTTTTTTTAGAACACGTACATTAAATTATATCAAGAGAGTAAAAAATATATCTCTTAAACGTGTGTCTTGTACAGTTATATGTTAACATTTTCATACTTGAAAAGCCACGTCAAATTCCTCTTGCGATATCTGTAATTAAGTAGAAACATTACATAAAAGTACAAAAGTAGAGAAAGTAGAACGACTGGGGCTTATTTTTTTAACACAGAAACTTATTTTTATAACACAGGAAAAACATGTTACCTTCTTTTTCTTAAATTTTTTTATTAATGCTATATCTTTCGCTAATTGTTCAACATCCTCCTCGTTTATTCGTTTTCTCTTCTTTTTATTAGAAATTGTTAAAAATTGTTGTTGTTTCAATTCCTTCCTTTCCTTCCGTTTACTTCGTTTCTCTCGTCTCTCGAGTTTTCTCTTTTTGGTTTCAGACCAGGATTCCGCTCGTTTTTGTTTACATCTTTTCTGATTATTTGTCCAAACACCAGTGCTCCAATACTCGTTTAATCTTTTAATTCTGCGCAATTCACGTTGTTTGTGTACATAAGGTATCGTGTTTACATCAATTTCAGGACCAACGAAAGACGATAAATTCTTCCCTTTGAGCTCCGGCATTTTTGGCATTCTCAAAAGACCGAAACCCATCGCCAATTTTCCCAAATCCACATCTTTTAACTGAAGAATTAAATTACATTCGTGTTTATTATATGCCTGCACGTATGAAACAAAGGCACGATTGGCTTTATCAAACATAAATCGATCCCTTTGTTGCATCCGCCTCATGCACTGTAAGCATTCATCAACAGTCTCCTCGTTTAATTCTCTTTCCATCTGACGCAGCTCGACTTTTTGGTTTCTTTTAATGAAATCTACATATGCACTCTCTGTTTCTAGAAGAAATAGCAATGCGTTTCCTTCATTACCGATTCTCGCAGTTCTACCACATCTATACGAGAAAAAATAATAATTTAGAGAATAAATCTTTAAAATATTGATATATCTCTCTGTTTCCATGTATGTAATGTAACGCCTATTATGTTACCTGTGTACGAAACTGCTGGCTGTACTGGGAGGATCGTATTGTAACACCCAGTCTATTTCCGATATATCGATGCCACGAGCCATTACATCTGTGCATATTAAAATGCCATTTTCAGCATATCGAAATTTATCGAACACTTTATATCTCTTACTTTTCATTTTACCGTGTAAGGCAAGTACGTTTATCGATGGTAATAATCTGCAAATATGCATGCGTCTATATACATATGTGTGTGTGTGTGTGTGTGTGTGTATGCGCGCGCGTTATGTAAAACGCGTGTATTTATTAACATAATATAACTATTTATATTAGGGATGCCCCGAATGGTAAAATTACCGGATATCCGGTAGGAAAATAACCAGATATTGGAGATTTTCCAGACATCCGTTACAAATTCTCCAAAATTAAAAAAAGAAGCACATGATTGTGGAACTGTGGAACAGGATTGTTTGCAATACAGTTTCAACATTGCTAAATATTCAAAGTTTAAGTTTACAAATTTTTATGACATTAACAAATTTTTTATGACAGATAATAATATTTCAGCATTTTTCAGTGACAATCTATTTCGATTATCGGTATAAACCACCATAGCTGTGCAAAAGCCATAAACTGTGCAACAAGTTCAGCTGAAAAGAAAAGAATTCTGCCATCAATGACGCAAATTTTCAATTTTAAATTTCAGCTGGATGTATTACCGGATACTAATGCTATCGATCGGATAGTGAAAAAGTACCGGATACTGAATATTTCCTGGATATCCGGTGCATCCCTAAATACAAAGAATATTTTGATTTAAAACGTTACGTACGTGGGTGTGTCAGAAATTACGTTCAGATAACTCTAGGTTATAGTTTACGTGTACATCAAGAGTTATCTGGGTATATAATTCTTGAACGCACCTCATTATACTTTCGACAGAAGAGAAAATTAGAAAAAAATTGATTTCTTAAAAAAGTAAATGTGATGTAAAATGAAATATGTCGTGCATATGAAACTTAGTAGCAAATGTAAAATATTTTGTTTAATATTTAATAGTTTTCAATTATGCCCCCTTACGTCTGTATAACTCGACTGAAATAATCCACACACGCACAGGTAGGTAAAAATATCATATACTTTGTTTTAAATCCTACTGAACGTATAAAATCTATCATTACTGGCAACTTATATTCAGGTTGAACAATTGTAAAACTATTTTTTAAATTTACAGGCGTGGAAACATTAGACTTTTCTTTCACAACAATTAATGCTGGATTTCTTAGTCCCGCTCTGATCAATTGCTGCAGCTCTTTCGTCTGTGTTGCAGAAAATAATCCTGTTCTTCGAAGACGTGGCAAATAGCTTAAAATAATATCTAAAGTCGCCGAGAATCCCAAGTCTAATAATCTATCTGCCTCATCTAATACAAGAAATTCCTAGAAGAATAAGAGTAGACCTAGTTAATAATTCGGGACTCTGTGTTGTATAAATGATATTATATTAGGTTGGTCAGAAAGTTTGCGCCATTTTTTTTCAGCACAAAATTATATTTGAAATATCTTGGTCAAAAATAAATGAAATTTAAATTTAAAGAAAACAGTTTTGAAGCTTGAAATTTCTACTTTTGAAAGGTTACTAGGTTTTTGGAATTTCTGTGAGTTTGATCATTTTTACATACAGAAAACTATGAGCTGAAAAAAATGGAAAATTTTCTTCTAACTTTGGGTCTATCATTTGCCAAAAAAAAATTTGCGAAAATTTTCGGCTTTCCATCCAAGTGAAAGCTTAAAGTTTTTTCCTACAAAATCGTTTTTTTAAAATATTCCTAAGACTTTTTTTTACCGAGTTATCGCGAATTAAATAAAAGGAGCATTTTGACTTTGTTCTATTGAAAGGTATAACAACAACAAATATATTGTATGTATAATTTTGAGCTAAAAAAAAAAACAGCATGAACTTTCTGACCAATCCAATAACAAGAAGATAAGATACGTACCAAAGATTTTATATATAGGCCCAAATTGATGTAATTAGACAGGATATCTTTCAATCTACCAGGTGTGGCAACAATAATATTTGCTCCTTTCTTTAACTTTTCTGCATCTTTCTGAAGCGTCACACCACCAACCAGTAATACTTGCTTTAACGATGGAATTCTTTTTAAGAACTCTTCTAGAATTTCACTAATTTGTATAGCCAATTCTCTTGTAGGGCTGACTATTATCGCTCCCACTTCCATAATCTTCCATTTTTCATTTCGTTTCTATGCACACATAAAAAAAATACACATATGCTTACTTTATATGTAATTACAATTAACAATTATATAAATCTTTAGAATAGCATATACAAATCGTTTTGCTAAATTCTACTAAATTTGCCAAAAGGAAGAATAAATTAAAACACTTTATATTGAAATTAGCTTCTATTTTTAAGTATATCTAAATCAATTAAGTCTTTCACTTAATCTGCTATATCTTAAGAAACAAGTCATTTTTTTTAACGTTTAGGAAGATAAATGCACATAATGAAAGATTACTTGTAACATCTCCAATAGAGGAATAAGAAAAGCGAGTGTCTTGCCACTGCCTGTAACTGCTTCTGCCGCAACATCTTTACCATTTAATAATAAAGGTATACAAGCTACCTATATGTAAATACAACAATAGATATATGTAAACGAGTATATAATCTTTTGCAATAGTCACATACATTTCCAACATGTTTTCATTTAATCATATTGAAAAATCCCAACTGCTCGAGTGTTTCCAATACAGAATCACTCAGTCGCACATTTAACTCCTCCCACTTCTGTGTTTTCATTACGATTGTCTTCTTTTTCTTTTTACTCCTTATTTATTCCAAAAAAAACATTCAAACAATTTCTTCTATTTTTGTAAAAATTATGTCAATGGCCCTATTTAGGCGGCCCGCACGGCCCGCACCACTGAATGCAATACAGCTGAAACGTGCACTGAGTTGACTGAGTGCCAGAAATACCAAAATGCGTGTCGAGAGAATAAAGGCCGCAACACAAACTTTTGCATAACGCATAATGCATAAGCGAATCAACTAATCAGAAGCTTTCCTTTCCTCTCATTCCATGGAAAAGAAGAATTTCGATTGGTTGATTCCATTATGCACTATGTATTATGCATTATGCAAGAGTGTGTGCTGCGGCCATTAAAATATCTCGTGCCTGTACTTAGTGGGCACTACCCCGGATCTACAATAGGTGTTTTAAGCCTTAAGCCGTAAGAAATTGACCAATAACAGTCGAATCCGAGAAGAATAAGCGACTGTGATTCGTCCATTTCTTATGGTTTAAGGCTTAAAACCCTATTGTAGATCCGGACCTACGCGTACGCGAGTGTCGTGCGGTCGAATGAACACGTGAAGGCCCGTCTACAATACACGGAGTAAGAAGTAAGAGTAAGAAATTGACCAATCACAGTCGAATGTGAGAAGAATAATCGACTGTGATTGGTCAATTTCTTACTCTTACTTCTTACTCCGTGTATTGTAGACGGGCCTTTACACTAGCCAAGTGCGCATTGGCACTGCCAATCGAACACGCTATTAGAAAGAGACGCTTGCAATCATTGAACACACCGACGACATATATACATAACCAAGCATTCTGTCCGTAGCTTGAAGCCGGAAATTGACAGTTTATGTGGTGTTTAGGACCCGTGGTGTCTCTTTCTATTTTGATGAGAGCAGTGCGAGAGAGTGAAATAGCACGGGTCCTAAAACACTACATAAACTGTCAATTTCCGGCTTCAATCCCTATCACTGAATAACATGGGAATGCTTGGGCTGTGTGTGTGCCTGCGTGCGTGCGTGCGTGCGCGCCGTTGACGCACACCCTGCACACCATGTTATCCCTTCCACCATGGGGTAGCCCTTAAATCGAGCCGTGTAAACGTAGTAAACGACGCAGTCAATTACGAAAGAAATTAAGAGAGAAGGGGGAAGAGGAGAGGGAGGGAGAGAGAAGGAATGAAAGGCTCGAAGAAAGATGCGCCAGAAAATTGGTTTTTAACGTATTGATTTTATTTTGATGTTTTTCTTCTTTTTTTAAATCTCTTTAATATAAAATCTGTTTAACGATGCCACACATTCAACTATCTCTCTCAGGCAAAAGTTGTTTTTGCTTCCTTCCATTTATATACACGATTAGGTCTAAGGCCGTAGTTGTTTAACTTTCTTTTCCCAATCGGTATCGAGCGTGGACGAAAAATTCATCTGAACGGAGCCTTTTACAAGGGGAATCTGAGATTAGTGATTGAGATTAGGGAAGAAAAAATCAGATATATTTTGCACCCTTCTACTCGACTCAACATCAAGTGTCTCGTGTCATCAAGTTCCTATAGATCGTTTGATATATACACACACACACACACACACACACACACATATATATATATATGTGTGTGTGTGTATATATATCTAGCTCGGAATAAAACAATCTGTTTTGTTCTAGTCTCTTCCCATTTTTTTTATCCTGCCCCCCTCCTTATTTCGACGCATCTGTACAACGGCACGCGCAAACGAAAATGTTTTCACACATCGCATACGCATACTTATTACTTCTTACTTCTTACTCTACACGTGATCACGCGACAAATATCAAGTTATCCTTTCAAATCTAATCGATCGAGCGAGTACGGCGCAACCTCTTTATTCTGTGTCGCACATCTTCAAACGGAACAAAGAGTCTGCCATAGCAGAGTTTACGCATATGTAGTTCAAATGATGAGATACGATGCCGATGTTCTTTTTACATCTAATCTCATCCCTTGTCTTAATTGGCAGTATACGCTACGTTCAGATAGATTTCCAAGTCCATGGTATCAAGCATTCGCACGTTTTCACTCGTCGACAAGAGGTACATAATTGGGCGAAGAATTCGTCATTCGAGAAATCGCATTACTTCACTAATTACAAATCTCTGCCAAGTATGGCTAAAATTACTAACGGATGTATCATGACACGCGTCGCGTATGATGAAGTAATAACTGTTGAATATAAGAAATGATGAAGCTTCGCCACGTTTTCTGTCCTACATCTCGCACACGTACATACATACATACGTATGCAGAGGCCAATCTTTAGTAATCTGAAGCTACCGACAAAGCTAATAATATCGAGCTTTTCTCTTTTTTTTTTCTTTTTTTCTTTTTTAAGCTTCTGCAACAACGTGCTTCTCTCGTTATTAGATTTCGCGTCTGTTATCGCGTATCGTTATGAAACGAGAAGAAAGAGAAACAAATCGAAAGTACCGAACCATTGGCGAACAGTAGGTGTAGCAATACGAGATGTAGAGTTTACTATTGAAACCAATTGTTAAAACTTGGCGAGTAAACTCGACTGTGAAAACGTGCAAATTATATACCTCTCGAATGTCTGCTGTTCGCACCGTTAACGTTAGCACGATTTGTCAGTATGCAAATGTGTTGTATCTCGCATACTCGATGTAATCTTTCGCGTTCAAAGAAATCCTGCGCGTATCAACGTCTCGTAACAAAACTCATTATCAACAAATCGCAGAATCGCAGAATCGCAGAATCGCAGAATCGCATATCTCGCTAGCGTTTTACCCTGCAAACCGTACTCCAGTTTTGTTAGTTATCGCTTGCTTCATTCAAATCTAACTCCGAAAGAGTGTGACCGTCCTATCCTCTTTTCTCCGAGTTCTTCCTTAATGAATGGAATCGACGCGCAGTCACGGGCAGAGAAATATGCCACGTGCACTTCCATATACCTTATTCTCTCTCTCTCTCGTGTAATTTCAATAATCGGTCTCGATTAAAAACAATGAATGGGGGAGGGGGGAGGGGAAAGCCAGAGAAAGGGAAAGGGAGAAAGTATTCGCTCGCGCGCGTGATCAATCTTGTTTTTCCACCGAGTTGTTACTTGATATTACAATGTAACGCAAGCTATGTTGTTGTATGTATGAGAAAATTAAAACTGCTGAATTTTTAAAATACGTCTATTAAACGCGAGCGGCGTATATTTTCTGCACACACATTGAGCACTACTCGATAAAATGCACGATCCAAAAAGATCATTAAATCTTTCTCCGGTACACATGCTAATCCGATAAAAGTCAACTCGTGGAATTTTGCGAAATTGCACAATGATAAACTATCATTTTACAATTTTAAAACTTGATTAAAATAATCAAGAAGATTTTTTACGGGACTCGATAATACCATTCAGGCCATAGGTCATTCAACGGTCGACCTACATTTGAAATAACAAGTTACCTTCAAGATGGTCAACGCTCTCTCTCTCTCTCTCTCCAATTATTTAGAATCATCATTTATAGTACCATACGGGATATCATTGATTCGTGGCTGAAAATATATAATCGGCCTCTCTTCCCTCCCATTGTAACCGGTAGTAAGTGTGTATGCGAGAGATATATATAATTTCAAACTGCTCATCAACGCAGAAAGTTGACGATTGATGCTTATTTATATCGATTAGTACATAATTTATATCGATTAGCGATCGATAAATCGAGAATGCGTAATTAAAGCGAGCGGCTCTTCGAGAAAGTTCCAACAATTGACACGCCATCATGAAAGTAACTCAATTTTGAAAGTCTTATCCTACCTTTTCAGAATACTATCGCTCTTCCTTTTCTTCCTTTAATTTATGCTGCAGCTACTGATTGTGCGGTAAAATGACGGGTATAGTCTGCTGCGCACCCGGAGGTGGCTGCGGTGGCAGGTATTGCATGTGTTGTGGTGGAATTGACGGTATATGAGATGGAATTATAGGGCACATAATCGGATAGCTCGGCGCGTGTCCTTGCGGTGGAGGTTGCGGATATGTAGGCTGTGGAGTACCAGGTGGATTATAAGCGCCCGGTGTATGTGGTTGATTCGGATTGGCTGGGGACGGCGTTTGGCTAGGTGGCTGCTGAGCTACATGAGGATGCGGATGAGTGTGCGGGCCCATATATTGTATGCCGGGGGCTTGCGGCCCTTGCGAGTCATGGTGATGATGGTACGGAGTGGCCATATGAGGTGGCGGCGGTGCCTGGACCATTCGTACCATTTGTTGATACGCCGGTTGTCCTGGATAAGGCACCTGGAATGGATGTATAGCTGGCGCCAACAACGGCTGTCCCGTTGCTGCAGCCACTTGCATCTGAGACGCTATGTCTGGCGCACGATGCTGCATCATAGGTACTGTAAAAATCATACAAAAATATATATATATATATATTCTTTTATGTTTGTGCGTGCGTGCGTGTATAATTATGCCAATCGGCAGAAATAGCAAGAGAAAAAAACTACAACTGATCTTAAAATAACTTGGAGGAAGCAATTTCAAATTTGTTAAATGTAATTTGTTTTCATATTATCACGAACGCACAAAAAAACTGGAGATACAAATGTATCGTGTAAAATTCGTCCAAGGAATACTAACCCTTCCGGAACCTTGCCACTTGTTGAGTAGGTGGTTGACTGAAAGCTGTCGGCGTTACATATGCCGGCATAACAACGGTCGCGGGCATAGTCGCCCCTGTATACTGAGGAGTTTGCGGTGTATGCGGCCGACTAGGCGTCGGTGTGCTAGGTGAGCGCTACACATTGTAAAAATATAAATCATATTGTTTCCATTCCAGGGAACCTTATTCTTGAAAAAAAAAAAGAAAAGTATACCAAAAACTAGGAACATACTATAATATACGTTACATATAATATAATATTTCCCTAGTTTTTCGTGTGTATGTATATATATATATTTCTTTTCAACAATAAGGGCCTAGTTCAACTTTTCACAACTAATAATATACATTACTTACCGGCGTGAATGGTTTGGCATTTGGATTGAATTCTTTAGCGTTTGGATTTAAAGTAGATTTCTTAAAAGCAGTAGTTATCTTATCAACCGCGGGTTCCGATGGAGATTGTTGCACTGTCGAAGTATTCTGAGGAGTTTGAGCTGGTTGTGGTGGTGGTGGTGGTTGTTGTTGTTGTTGTTGTTGTTGTTGTTGTTGTTGTTGTTTTT